ATACATTCCGATACATTCCAATACATTCTGGGGAGTATGAAAAGTAAGGCCAATACATTCCGATACATTCCAATACATTCCGATACATCTGAACACTGCGCAAGGTTTCTTGAAAACCCTTGGTCATAACAAGCGTCCCTGGGGCCGCTTGCGTGTTTCTTTCTTTACCGCTGCAGTAGCGTTCTTTCATTTGAGCGCCTCACCAGGTTTCATGATGTCGTTCTTGAGGTTCTCCAAGATAGGGCGGTATTCGATGAAGGTATTTGGAAAACAGCAACCGATCCAAGACGAACGCGCAAAAAAGGCACAACAGAGCGTCCCCGGGGCCGCTTCACAAAGCAGACTCATCACACAAACGCATGCGTCCAGATATATCTATTTGAATAGTGTTGTTGAGAAAAAAAGAACACAAGTCGAACTTTTCATATTGAAGGTTAAAAAAAGTGGAAACTATATACACAAATAGCTATATAATAAGTAGAAATTAGCTATAAATTAGCTAGAAATAGCTAGAAATTACCTAGAATTAGCTAGACATAGCTAAAAACTAGCTAAAAATAAGTAGAAAATAAGTAGAATATGTAGCCTCCAACATAAGTACTATAAGTTCACAAGTTACTACTATGTTCCATAAGTAGTACTCTGGTACTTATTGAACGTATAAGTTACAATATGAACTTATAGAACTTATAACATAACTTATAGAACTTATAGTGCAACTTCAAGTTACTTGTCACAGCTCAGCTAGCCACAAGTACCACAAGTCACGAAGTACTTTCCTGGTGCCAGGTATGAACAGTCTGAAACGGGGAAACTGGCACGGATGTGTTGTTTGTTGTCTTTTTTCTGGTTGGGGCCTGATTCCTGCCTGGTCCGTTTTTTTTTTGCTGGCTTCTTTGGCTTCTTTGCTTCTTTGGCTACTTGGAATCTTTGCCCTTTTTTGCCTTCTTGGCTTCTTTGGTTTCTTGGAATATGTGCCTTTTTGATCCTTTTTGGATTCTTCTTTTTTTGGCTTCTTGGACTCTTTGCATTTTGTTGCTTTCTCTTTTTGCTTCTTGGATTCTTTATTTGTTGACTTCTGCGCTTCTTTGGATTCTTGGCTTGTTTGGTTTCTTTGGCTTCCAGGTCTTTTTGGTTTGGCATCTTTGGTTTCTTGAATTTTTGGCTTCTTCGCTTTATAGCTTTGTGGTTTTCTTGGCCTTTCGACCACAGCGACCGCCACCGCAGCAATTGCCACTTTCAGACGAAGAAACAGAAGGAGATGATTAGGCATATAGTCTAGTGTATATAGGAACAAGATTTCAACTCGGAACAAGAATAGACAGTGAATAAACACGAATGCAGTCATATCGATGACGATGATGATGATGATGACAAACAGGATAAACAAATGTACACGCAGAGACCAAGCAGACAACGAGAACAAAGAACAAACACAACTACACGGTGCTATGATTTGATATGATTTGCTATGATATGATTTAATGCATGATATGATGCTGTCAAGGATGATAAACAAGAATGAACAAGCACAGAATGAGATACAAAATGCCAACGAGGACAAAGAGAACTACCCCAACGATTCCCGCTCACATGGCATCGGTTGGCTTTAGCCCCGCCGACTTCGCGCAGCCACGAAGTCTGCGCCGTCGGCATCTCGAAGTACTTCGCCAGCCCCCTGTGACAACCATATTGGGCGACAGCCAAAACCGAACTACCAGACAGCAACAAAACAAGATGCTGAATTCTTCAAGTATGCTAAACAACGCCGTAATCGCTAGCAGCAACAACAGCATCCAAAAACGTCAGGCTTTGAGGTCTACTGGCAGCTATCGCGTGTGCTGCGCCATTGGTTTTGTGGCAGCTATAGGGCTTGCAACTGGATCTAGCTCATTGTGGCTGTGCCACTAGGATTCTGTTGTTGTCATTTTGGGGGGGCGCAGGTTCTTGCTGATAATACAGATGATTGTGCGCAGTGCTCGGGCCACCTGGGCATATGAAACAACACAGTACTGAAAACCTGTTTGCCATTGTGTTTTGCACTACCTGATGTGACTTACCGAACATGTGAATTCTTGGTTTTGGCTCTGTGCCAGTAGGAGATAGGACTTTATACCGCCTGATGTGCGTTCAACCCGACGCTAATACTATATAACACAATGGAATATATTTGCAGACACTCCACGGCTCAACCATCCTCAACCCTTGGCAGGGTGCGCTGGAGACGGTGTTGAAGCGTGAAGATGGGAGCCAAGTGGCCCCTCGGCGCGTTTTCGACGGAGGGTGGGGGTGGTACGGCGCTGCGCGTGAAGGCACGGGATGAGTCGTAAGTGAACATTCTGACTGATGGGTGTATTTTTTAAAGGGAGATACTCGGAGACACCCAGCCAATACCTAGATCTTCAGTTCGGCACTTTTACAAAGTCCGGCGCCGGACTTCCAACTCCGGTGTTTTTTTATGGATTTGGTCCAGCAGTTTTTTCAAGTCACCTTATTATGTGGATTCTCAAGGCTTGCATTCTTTGTGGTCCGTATTTCTTTGAACTGATGCAATGATTTTGCTTGCAAAGCGTACTCGTTTGCCTGTTCCGCTGTTTTCTCATTCCCCCGGTTTCAGCATGGATCACACTGGATCAATCAGATCCGTTTATCTTCTATAAATGAAATCGGATGAAATCGGTACAGTGCGATGAAAGTGTCGAAAGACCCAAGTGGGTGTACCTAAGCTGAAAGAACATAGGCAAAAATGTACTCTCATTGTTTCAGGATGTCGGGGCGCTGGGATATAGTTCTAGCTGCGCAGGTTTGCAGAGCCTGCCGGACAAGTTGTGGGCTGTGGAACATGTGTTGTTCAGAATCTCAATTTGTGCAGAGAGTTGCTTAAAGAATGGCGCGTCGTAACTCCGGCGCAATTTCCCGTAACTCCGGCATAATTTCCCGTAACTCCGGCGTATTTTTTTGACTCAGTCTTCTGATGGTTTTGAATTTTGAACCAGTTTTTGACAGGAACCATGAGTTCTGCTACATTGGGTGGCCGTCCCGAGGCAAGCTTTAAAGTAAGACACACTAAAAAACATAAGAATCATTCAGAATTCTTGGGAGCAACCCACTTTGTAAAAAAAATAGAGGCACGGTTGCAGAGAAAGAGTGGCTCCTTGCCACATACTCCTTGGTTTCTTCTTGCAAGTCTTTGCTTGGGCACAAGTTTGCTTCTATTTTGTGATGGTTCTGCTCTTAGGCCATTCGGAAGATGGGCGAGGGCAATGGGAACGGGAAGGCTCCAGTGTTGGGTTGTGGAAATAGTGTGCTCCAGAAAAACTACTCGCGGCGCAAAGGCAGTTTGCTTGTGTATGATCCAACCTTTTATCATGTCTGTTTTTCAGAATCTTGGATCCAGATGTTTTTTTCAGGTCTCCGGCGTTTTTTTTTCGGAATCCGGTGGACAATTTTGCCGGATTGAGGTAAGTTGAGGGTGACGATGGACATAGAAGCGGGCAGACCCCGACCTGCATCGTACGACGTCACGAGGCCTGGGAGTCCATCTACAAGCTCCTACCCCAGGAGGTCAAGTTCTGGCAAGATCAAGCCCACTCGCCTGCATTGACCTGGATGGCAAGTGGTGCCAGGGGCAAGGCTTTGACACCACAAGAAGTCGTAGCTCAGGGCTCGATGAGGGTTTGGAATGGAGAGCTTGGTGCCTGCTTTGGAACCAGGTGCAACAGGCCATACAGCAGCATCTTCATCGGCGCGAAGGGCAGCCAACAAGGAGAGGAAGGAGAACAAAAGAAGGAAGATTCAAGCAGAGAAAGAAGAACTAGCCAGCAGGGCAGGAGCTTCGTCCTCTGGTGGTGGTGGCGGCGATCGACACCATCAACAACATCAGAAGGGGAGAGGAAAGAAAGGAAAAGGAAAAGGAGGAGACGCATTGCGCTACAGCTGGAACAATGCACCGAGGCTGCCTCAAACCTTCAAGTCCACGCTGGGCGACGGCGCATGCCTTTTTTTGTTAACAACCCGAGGGTAAAATTTAGAGGAGGAACGCCGAAGAACTCCTAAGAGACTCGAAGCTGGCAGACAACCTCCAAAAAGTCCTTTCCTCACTCCTACTTCTCCTTCGTTAAGTGGGATGCGTTTTCTGCTCCCTCCCTTTGTCACTGTCTTGCTCTCTCCCTCCCGCTGGCTCTGCTGCTTCGTCCCTTGACCTTTCTGCTGCTCCTGATGGTTGTAAAGCTCTCGCAGAAAAAACACAAAACCATTAGTCCGAAAAAAATCCGGAACAATCTCAATCCGTTTAATAATCCTGTTCACCTATTAAAAAACACGGGGTACCCCCCTGAAATCGAGGGGGTGGGTCACCTGGGAAGAGCTTCAAAACAAAAAAGTCATCCAGTAAAATGTTATAGTATTAAACTCGTATCAAAATCAATAACCTCCAGATCGAAGGGTCTTCCTTTTCCCCTACAAAAACCTTTATTAGAATACTGATTCTTCATTAGACGAAAGCTTTCGAAAGGTGATGTCGCTGTGCCATGCGATTTTGCGCGACCTCGGTGGCAAGTGCGTTTGCGTGAGTCCGTGCCATTGGGGGAAGGAAAGCCTGCTGGTGTAAACGCGGCGTGTCATTGTGGATAGACAGAGGTGGCAGTTACGGTTGTTGGTAGTTTAGTAGCGGCTTGAAAGGGCGGTAGTTTAAAAACAAATTTAGACTGTATTCAGAGTTTCGGACATGGTGTTTTCTTAATTCGGGTGGTTTTTTAATAGGTACTCGGGATTATTGTTTACATGGTTCTTATGTTTGTTTGATTTGGACCGGTGCCAGACAGGCTTTTTCAACACAACGTCATGTCGACACAGACATTCGATACCGAGGTCTTGACACTCTCCTATGGAGACTTAGTGGCGCCCGATGCCCTTTGGTGCGCAAGCGGTAAAGCTGTGTGTGCTGTGTGTGCTGGGTGAGTCTTCCAGTTGGAAACGGGAATCTAGGGACCCTCACAGAAGAGTGGTGGATCACCTGCGCACCACAGATGTGTATCACCCTCAGAGAACATATATGTTTGTGAAATTTAATGTGTTTTTTTATTTTTTTTGGTACTATATTTTGTTGTTCGTCAGGTCTTGAGTACATTACAGCCCCCAAATCAACGAGTTTTGTTTTTTTTGCATCGAATTGAACGTATCCAAGTACACTTTCTTCGTGAGGGTATTGCAGCCCGATCTTTCATGAAAGGTTGGTTTTTAGAAGGGCAACCGAGGTCTTAATCTTCCAGGTGTGCCTCGGCATCCAAAAAATCCAAAACCATCCAGTGCTAGGTAGTCTTGCTTAGGCAGGGTGATGTGTGTTTTCCCTTCACCGGGTCACTCCCTTAAGATGGAGGCCTGCAAGGTGAAGATGGCCATGGGGGTTGTCCCAGGAATCCTTCATAGTGATCCCCCGCCTTAATAGAGAGTGGCACGCTGTCCAAGACACTTTCCAAGACATGTTTAGTGGGGATGTACCTTTCTATTTACTTGGGTGTTTGTAAATAGTGTATAACAGTCAACAGTCTGGAAACTAACTATTATCTTGATTTTTAGACAACAGCCTTCAACCTAAGCATCAGCATTCACTGGGCCCAGGGTGTTTGGGATATAGTATACAGTGGAGGTGCTCTCGTTGTGGAAGGTGTCGTGTAAAAAAATCATTTGTTTTTTGAAGATGTGATATACAGCCGGTTCGTCAGTCGTGCCCCCCCGTGCAGGGAGTTCAAAGGCTCAGTGCTCAGCTGCAGGATGTAGAAAGGGTCAGCAGGATGTGTATTGGAGGCCTCTCACAGCGTTGAAGCAGGATGACTTCTTTGCAATTCAAAGGGCCAGGCAACCGAGGGCCGGGGGGCAATGAATGTCTTGAGAAAACCTCTGAAAAAGAAAACACGT